TTATATATATATATATATATATATATATATATAAACACAAAAAAAAACCACAATTTCATTTTTCCTTTGCAGTTACGTAAATCATGAAAGTCTCCCATGTAATCATTTGGCTTAAGCCAAGCTGTCTAGAGAAACTGGTCTCAGGGCATTATCCAAGAGGAGGCCAAGGTCACAGGAAGAAGTTGCATTTGAAAATGAAAACTAAAAGACACTGCTTAGATACACTGTATTCAAAAGACCTGTAACAGATTCCATTTTAACATAAATTAACTAGAAATATTGTTAAACTATTTTTCCTGATAGTTTGCCTGCATTTGTAATTAAAGGCAGCTGCACAGTGTGGAAAGGTGACGTCTCTAGAAACAGTGACAAAGATCTGCTATGTTGTCTGTTTCTTTAGGCTGTTTATAACACCTGTGCCACAGTTCAGGTGTAATCTGTACAGCATAATTAAAAATACCCATTAGAAATACACAGACACTTTCTAATGTCTGGGCAAGTGGGATTGCTATTGTCACCTTAACCTTTTTTCTGTCAGTTTTGGGTGGGTTTTCTTACATCTAGCATATGAATCCATCTGGGGCATTTGCCCTAAGGGGCATACACTCTCATGTCAATGTGCAGAGACTTGTGAGACTAATCCTGAATTCTTATGTTAAACATACTTAGGAAATTTTAGTTCTAAAAAGCCAAGGGCTATGCAAAGTAGACAGAATTTTTAATTGATAGATCCCACCCCCAGAATACCAAGAGGTACCAATACAAGAACAACTGGCAACATTTCAATCCCTTAGATTCCAAGATACCATGTTCCTACCTATTTTACAGCAAGGTACAGCATTTTAGTTAAATACTATACACGCACACACACACTGCATTTTTTGACGACATTTAATAAAAAGCACCCTTCATTTTTCTTGTATTTGCTTATAAGAAGCCTGTGGCAACAAACTCTGAAATTGCATTCAGAAATTGGGAAGGTTTTGACATACCACAAAATAAAGGCATCTCATTCTACTCATCCATGAGCATTTTAAACGTGACCTGTCCACCCATGCAAAGGGTCAACTCCAGAGCTAAGGTATGTCTACACTGCAGTGGGGAGGGATGATTGCAGCACGTATAGACATACCCAGCTAGCTAGATCAAAGTTAATTGCTTAACTGCTGTTGTAACTGAGGCTAAGCCATAGCAGCATGGCAGGGCCTCCCAGAGGATTCAGGGGACCTGGGGTCTTCGGTGGCAGGGGGCCCCCGCCGCCGAAGACCTGGCACTTCGGCGGCGGGTCCAGGGGCGGAAGGACCCCCCGCCACTGAACTGCCGCTGAAGACCCGGAGCGGAAGAAGCTCCGGGGGCCCGGGCCCCGCGAGAGTTTTCCGGGGCCAGCGGAGTGAGTGAAGGATCCCACTCCAGGGGCCCCGAAAAACTCTCGTGGGGGCCGCTGCGGGGCCCGGGGCAAATTGCCCCACTTGCCCCCCCCCCCGGGCGGCCCTGCAGCATGGAACGGGGGGCTAGCCCTGCCCACCCAGTACCCTCAGAACATATTCAAAGGTGCTGCTTTGGCTTCACTGCTATTATCTGAGCTAGCTAGATCAAAGCCAACTTGGGTGTGTCTACAAGTGCTGTAGTCACACCTCTGACTGCAGTATAGACATACCTCAAGAGTGACTAAACTGTACAGGAGCGCCAGTCACATGTTAGTCACTTTGAGTGGAGTCACTGTTTACACCAATTCTGAATTTGCCTCAAAGAGTCTTGAAAGCAGGAAGGGGTCTGAAATGCAGCCACAATTGTTCATGAAGATCCCCATTCCAGGGCCTGCAATTGCAACATTAACTCACTCAATGCTGCTTACTCATATGTAGCTCTAATGGACTTCAGGAGGCTTAAGGACTACATGAAAGAAAGGGCATTAGGGTCTGATCCTGCTAACACTCACTGCCATGCACAATGCTTGAATGATCCCAGTAAGACTATACACGATAGAAAACTCTAAACTCTGTTGTGCATGCAGGATTAGGAGATAAAGGCATAATACACACATGTAGTCTCATTGAAGTCAGTGGACCATGCACTGCATAAAGTTAAGCACGGGCATCTCAGCAGGATCAGCTCTTCGTTTGCATGGAACAGAAGAACTGGAGATATGACAGAGCAGAAGGGAGACCAGCATCTATGTTTCATGAGTCTGCACAATATTGTGGAAACTGTTGGGTTTTTCCCGCCGCAGTGTTCTTCAAGGCAGGGTCTGGCTTCACTGATCAATGTAGAGCCAGCCATATGTTCTGTGCTTTATACAAAAAATACATAAACAAAAATAGTAGTGCACAAGCAAGTCAAATTTTGCTCTGACTCAAAGTACTAAAAGCCAGAACAGGCTCAGACTGTTGTCACAGAGGTTCCCATTTGCTCACTATACCACATGAAGAGAGCCAAGTTATACAGTCCCATGCTGTCAAAACAATATAGTGAGAAGTCTGGTGTCTGTTTTTATGGTGTACAGGTCTGGGGATGTGAGTGATAGCTGTGTTTTATAAATACAGAAATTAAATTTGAGTTCAGGTTTGTACAGATGGCTCTCTCACTATAAAAGCTGCCTGTTCTCAAATTAACATTTTGTTGCACATAAATTTAGAAAACCATTATAAATTAACACAACAATAGCAGAAATGCTCTGTCTTCTCTGTGTTTAGTTTCTTCCTGTGTACAAGGGGTGTGTGGAAACTATTTCCCTCCCCACCCCCAGGGCATTCACAGCAGAAAATAAATACCTGCAGAAGCGATGGAAAAAGTTGCTGGTGGAACGTAAGCTTCGGGTTGCCAGATTTTCAACATTTGCACATAAGACTTGGATAAGATTGACAAATTTGCCAATACAAGCTTGGAATAAACAAAGGGAAAACAAAAACAAAAAAACTACAGCCAGACCTTTTGATCAATAAAGAGAAAAAATAACATGCCCTGGAAAAACAATAATAAAAGAAAAAGCCTACCAAAAAGAAGAAAAAAAAGGACTTTAGCATGCTGACCAGGAAAGAGATTTGGAGCTGTTTGGAAGATTAAAGGTTTTTATTGGGGAAAAAAAATCCCTAAAGCCGTTAGCCCAATATGTAGCTGAAATGAAGAAGGCAAACAGAATGCTTGGTTGCTAGGAGAATATGAAAAATCAAAAGCACTGCTATATACTGTAAGGAACTGGTAAGACCTCTCCTAGCATAGTCTACCTAGTCTTGGTTATTGTACCTAGGAAAGGCTCCAATGCTTTTTGATAGAATGCAGTGCAGAGCAAAATAAGGTGAATACAGAGGCTGCAGTATTTAAATTAACTACAAGAACAGTTCAGGATGAGAAACTTACAAATGATAAAAAAGAAAACAAGAGACCCACTTCTTAAACTCATGTCTAGTATCTTTCAATGAACTCTGTCAAGGATTGCAGACCCAACATTGTATTTTTTTTTCTTTCAGTTCTTGCCTCTGAGAAATCAGAGTCATATCAGCGGGTCTGAACCTTCCATACCATGGCCCTCATGTTATAACAAAGCATTTCAGGACTCAGTTCTCCCTTCTAGCCATAGAGATAAGGAAGATGCTTACAAAACTCCAGACCAAGTCACAACCTGTTGGCTAAGAACCCATGAGCTAGATCTCATCCTACACAGAGAAAACCCTTGCAGGGACACCTAACTGAGTTTCAATCTGTGCAGAAAAGTAGATAGAACCATAGATTCTTAGAATTGAAAGGGACCTCAGGAGGTCATCTAGTCCAACCCCCTGCTCAAAGCGGGATCAATCCCCAACTAAATCCTCAAATCCCTAAATGGCCCCCTCAAGGATTGAACTCACAACCCTGGGTTTAGCAGGCCAATGCTCAAACCACTGAGCTATCCCTCCTCCCCCAGTGGTTAAGCTCCTACCCTCAAATTTGGGAGTCCTGGATTCAAATCTTTGATCTACCACAAACTAGCAGTGTGACTTTGCGCAAGTCACACAGCCTCTCTGTCTGCCCCTCTGGAACATGGAGATAACACTTTTCTACTTCTCAGTTGTTGTTAGGATAAAAACATTGCAGATGGTGAGGTGCACAAACTACAGCAATGGAGGCTATAGATGCACTTAAGACAGATAGATAGACCTTGGCAAGTCACTCAACATCTCTGCCTCCCATTAAACTTGGGAAGTAAGATGCTACTCAACATGAGTAAGGGCAGCAGATCATGGTTCTTAACGGAGCTGGGAGAATAACTGACCTTTTGGTTTGCTGGCAATTTTGAAAAGTTGAAATGAAATTCATTTTGGGTTGGACAAAAAAAAAAACAAGAATTTTCTAAGTTCTTGGCAAATCAAAAAAAGTACAAAAAATTAATTTCAGGTCAAATGAAACATTCTGTTCAACCCAAACAAAATGTTTCATTTTGATCTTGAGCATTTAAAAAAAAAAACTAAAGGAAAATTTTAAATGTTCAAAATGTTGAAAGGAAATGTTTTGATTTGTTTGGAATGATGGGATTTTTAAAAAATGAATGGATATGAACTTGCAAAACATTTTGGTGTTGGCAAAATAGCGTTGTCACTAAAAAGCTCCACTTCGGCCAACAAATTTCATCCACTTCTAGCTTTTATTTTCCCTGTGTGTAAAACAGAAATCCAGATACTTGCATTCTGTGAGAAAGAGCGGTGAGCTTCATGGATGGCAAGTAGCGTTGTTGTTATTATCCAGATTAATTGTAAATTGCTGCCATTTTGGCTGATACAGCAAAGATCAAACTGGAGACCTAAACAGCTAAGAGCATGAGCTGCTACAGGTTGAACTACAGACCCAGGGTTCCCCACCTGGCATTCTGAGGGACTTAGCCTAGAAGGGGACCTATAAACACAGAAGCATCAAGGAAGATTCCAAGAAATACTCAAGAAAGTAGGTAGGAGAAGGCCTATGAACAGAATTGGAGAAAATCCAAGCAGACTCCTCATTCAGGGACAGCAGAAATACTGTACAGATTCAAGATAAGGGTCCCTTGTGGTAGGACAGAGAGAACCCCCCACCTAGACCCTATTAAAAATTACCTAACAAATGAAAACAGCCCTGAATTCATTTTTCGTCCTTGACTTCCAAGAAAGGAGTCATTTCCTTCCAGTAGCATACATGGAAAGTAATTCGGTTTAAGGCCAGATCCTCAGCTAGTGTAGAACAGTGCAGTGCCACTGAACTCAATGAAATATGCGGATTTACACCAGCTGAGGGTCTGCTCCTAAGCTATCAGTGTCGAGAGTGCCTATAACTATCGTATCCAGGCTCCTAAAGTATTTTTGAAAGTGTCAACAATGCAATGGGGGAGGGGGAGAACAGATGGACCCGATTCTGTATCCCCAACTCCCACTAATTATATTTACTCAAGGGAGCCGTTCCGCTGACATCAACTGGGCTCCTAAATAGGTTAGTGCTACTCAGCCTTATAAGACTGTGCTACAAACAAGGGGCCCAGATTGCTAATTGTTTTATTGGGATTTATTAGGATTGCTGAAGTGGCCCTATAAAGAGAGCTTTCATTAGCACTGCAGTGCCATGGCTCACCCTCATAAGATACATCTATTTGCAAGATTTTTTTGCCTTCTGTGTATTTAACAGTGTTATCGGAGGGCAGATGCTCTCTCCAGGTGCTGACTTACTCTAATAAGCTGTTTACAGTTAGGTAATTTCCTTCCTGTTATTCCCCACATATTTAAGACCGTGCTGGAGGGTAGGCCAGGGAACTGCAGCTTGCCCTCATTAGTGGTTTTCATTTATGTTATTTTTCCTTTTAAATTCCTGTTCACTTAAACAGCGTTACTGGAAAGCACCGAGGATGCTGAGCCCAGCTTCAGATTTACTCAAACTGTTTATGGAGCAATAGTTTCCCCTTGCGATGCTCCTGGATGTAATGCCACTGCAGGAGGCATTAGGGAGTTACAGCTCATCACCACTGACACATTCAGGAGTGAGAGTCCTGAAGAGTTGTCATGCTAGAGAAACAAGACAGATAGGAGAGAGGTGAAGTGATTTGCACAAAGTCACACAGCAGATCAGTGGCAGAATAGGAATTAGGGTCCAGGTGTCCTGCTGCCTAGTACAGTGCTTTGTCCATAGGGTTGCCAACTCTCCCGGATTGGCCGGGAGTCTCCCAGAATTGGAATCGATCTCCTGGCGGCTACTGAAACCAATCCAGGAGATTTTAATAGGCTACTAAAAGTCCAGTCGGCGGTGCAGCGAGGCTAAGGCAGGCTCCCTGCCAGCCCTGGCTCTGTGTGGCTCCCAAAAGGGACCAGCACATCCCTCTAGCTCCTAGACACGGGTAGCCAGGGGGTCTCTGTGCACTGCCCCCGCACTGAGCGCTGACTCCGCAGCTCCCATTGGCCGGGAACTGCAGCCAATGGGAGCTGCAGAGGTAGTGCCTGCAGCAAGGGGCAGCACACAAAATCGCCTGGCTGCCCCTGAGCCTAGGAGCCAAACATGCTGGTTGCTTTCAGGAGCCACCTGAGGTAAGTGCCGCCTGGCCGGAGCCCGCACCTCTCACCCCACTCCAATACCCCAATCCCCTGCGGCCTCTCCCACACCCAAACTCCTCCCATAGCCCACTCCCACTCCTGCACCCCAAACTCCTGCCCCAGGCTCAGCCAGATCCCCCTCCCACACTCCAAACCCCTCAGCTCCACCGCCCAGCCCAGAGCCCACACCCCCTCCAATCACCTGGCTGGGGCAGGGAGAAGCGAGTGAGGAGAAAGCAAGTGACGAAGGAAGGGAGGATGAAGTGAGCAGGTGGCGTGGCCTCGGGGAAAGGATGGGGCAAGGGTGTTTGGGTTTGTGCGATTAGGCAGTTGGCAGCCCTATTTGTCCACCAGATCACACTGGCTCCTGCTTATCCCCCAAATGGGGAAACCGAGGTGTAACAAGAGCACAGGTGTACTGGTAAAAGTCTGATCTTTATTGCCTGGCCTCAAACCCATGACATAGGTCAGGGTTACAAAAGGCTGTCATGGTAAAGACCTGCCACACAAGAGTCCTGTGCCTCTGCAGTCAATTCTGACCCTCATCCAGCCCCATGCTAAGGTCAGCCCTAACTTTCACCGGGAATCCCCATAGATATGAGTGGAGGCTGTAGAGGGTGGAAGCTTCATTAATTAGGAGTGCCCTGAGGAAGGCACTATATTCTAGAGTATGCCTGCTGGTGCTAGTTATTTCTGTGCTGCGCTATTTCCAGAACTGCTTTGTGTTGGATTCCACATTTTCTTTATTTGCTGGTGAACCTAAAGCACCTGACATTGCCTGATTTTGCTGGTGGGTTGACCATGGGGCAGGGGGGAAATCTTGCTGTGGGTGCATGTCACTGAATTAACAATTTCACAAGTATCAAATTATTCAGACTATACCACCACACATCCTCAAAACCTGTCCAGTGATAATTATGTACAGCCTATGCCAAATGTACTAGAATTAAATAACAGAATTAAAATGCAAAC